ACGGGATAAGTCCGACATCACTTGATAGCAGCAACTGATAAGATCATTCCAATCTAACAGCAACGGAGCATTTGTTGTGCAGTGGTTGTTAGGTGCCACGGAATCATAGCAATGCCGTATGGCAGAGAGAGGAGGACAGCCCACTGACACTGAGCTAGAATCCTCCCGTGGGGCCACTGCAGGGTTTGAGACACCCATGTTTCAATTAAGCTGAACACTTAACTTAGCCCACCTGGGCTCCTTAACCTTTATGAGAGTTTTATTTACGCATCAACTTTGCCATGTGTAGCCAATTAATTCCATTTACAACCCTTATCAACAATCTTCTCCTTCTTCTTATTTCCAATGGAATCAAACCCATGGCTGTGCTGTTTCTAATAAATACCACATCTGTCACTTAATTCCACTTCTATATTAACAGTAGCAGCAGATACAACCAAATCTATTGACATGCAAGTTACAGTGAAACCAACCAACCGCACTTACCTTTGGTGTAATTAAAAACAAACTTGATAATAGAACCAACTCTAGGCTCCTAGGGCCACCTCAGAATCAGAGAAATCTCTCATCTCAAACAGACTATGACACGCGCACAGAACTCTCAGAGAGAGGTGAGAAGGACAACAGCAAAGGACATAGCGTGAATCCAGCAAAGGACAGAGACTGGCCACAAACCACGACCTACCTGCAGCAAGCATGACGGATGGGTTACAGTTATTGGTACAACTGATGACTGCAGCAATGACCACCGACCCGTGAGACAGCTTATATTCACTTCCTTCATACTGAATGGAGACGAAGTCATTCTGTTTCTCAGCTGCGATTTGGAAGCCTTTAAATCCAACCTGTATAAATGTGCAGAGATTTCAACAAAGTATGCCAGACAGCTACAGACTGTCAGGGTAAAATGACTGCAAGAAAAGATACTAGCTCCTTGCCGTTTGAAGACCTAAATATTCAGAGTTCCAGTTGGCACATGGGGAGCCCTGGTGGCACCGTGGGTTGCGTTGGGCTGCTAATTGCAAGGTCAGCAGTTCAAAACCATCAGGTGTTTCACGAGAAAAAGATGACGCTTTCTACGCCCCTAAAGATTTACAGTCTCAAAAACCCAAGACCGAGAGTTTAGTAAAGCTAGCTATACTTGAGCCGAAGCCTGAATTTGAATCGTCATATTAGGAATCTGAGGTTCCTAAATAAAGCTTTTCTCTATCAAGTTAGTTGGCCGAACTGCTCAGGGTCCACACCTCATTTGACTCTGTTGTTCTCCATTCATTCCAGCGTGTGAGATGGCACATTCCACTCCACTCCACTCCACCCCCTGCCTTTTTCTGGTTAAAAAGGCTTTAAGGATTTGCATCAAAACAATCTTGTGTGGGTGTATGTGTGTGCAGATTGATAAAACAAAATTTGCTATGATTTGATAATCATTGAAGCTGGGTGGTAGGCCCATGGGAACTCATACCACTTTTATTGCTGAACAAACTTGAAATGTTTTAACAATAAAACAAAAACGAACGAATGGTAAAGGCACTAAGCCCGTGACTGTTCTCAAAATAGACGAGAAAGTGACAGCACTGAAGTCATGATCCTCACACAGAAAAGCAACCCCCCAAAGCCCAAGCGGTCACTTGCTACTTTAGTTACAGTGTGTCCAGTGCTATGAGCATGATTACAGAGCAGTGCTTTGGCTGTTGTGCTTTCCTCCTATTGTGGTGAGTCAGAGCAATCGAGACTAGGGCTCTGTTCAATAGAGCTTCCT